CAAAAAAAATCACTGTAGTTGTTTCTTGGTTTAATGAGTTTATTTTTTTGACACATCCAGCTAGTTCATCTGTTCAATGCAATTTCAACAGTCCTGTATTGGTTGGTAGTCCCCTGGTGATATAGTTATATAGATGTGTGGGTCATCTGCATGACTATGATAATACTCTTTGTAGTTTTCCCTACTCTGAGCCAATGGAAGCAGGTAGATGTTGAAGAGAAGTGGCCCCAGTATTGAACCTTTAAGTTGACCCCTTCTAAATCACATTGTTGAGTGTAACTCACAAGTTGCGTTGCAGACCCTTGAGGCTGCGTTCATTAAAGGTCCACTTGTGGTGACCACTTCCACACAGTAAAGCACTCCAGGTATCAGATCCGTAAACCCCACATTCGTAGTAAAGTTGCTCAGGTCTGTGACGTTTTTCACCATGAGATTGTCTCTGAAAAGCAATACAGCGTACGAGCCCACCAGTCCCACTGCTTCTTTCCAGCTCACTGTCATTGCAGTTGTGTTTCCAATTGCCGTGACGCCAGAAACAGCTGCAGGCCCTGTAAAAAGAGATTTCAATTTTACTTAATGTACATTTAGAAATTCCTTAGTGAAGGTTTGCCTAAATATATTGAATCTGTTATTTGGTCATTTATATTACTTTGAATTCAAGCAATTACTGCACGTTCATCTAGTATGGAAGCATGCTGCCAGCATTTATCAAGTCAACAAACTTGTGTAACTTTGCATGCCTATATGACTGTTCAGGTTGAGGTCCGAATCCATAATTACACCTGGATTTCCAGCTTGGTTTGTGTTTTTTAACATCAGAGATTGAAGCTCAGCGCTGACTTTTAATCGGTTCATCCGTCCTAGCAAAAAAAATCACTTATGTTTTATCTTTGTTTAAATGAATTTTTTTTTTGACACATCCAGTTGTTGATTTGTTCAATGCAATTACACAGCCCCTGTATTGGTTTGTAGTCCCCTGGTGATATAGTTATATAGATTTGTGTGTCATCTGCATGACTATGATAATACTCTTTGTTGTTTTCCCTAATCTGAGCCAATGGAAGCATGTAGATGTTGAAGAGAAGTGGCCCAGTATTGAACCTTAAATTGACCCCTTCTAAATCACATTGTTGGTGTAACTCACAAGTTGCGTTGCAGACCCTTGAGGCTGCGTTCATTAAAGGTCCACTTGTGGTGACCACTTCCACACAGTAAAGCACTCCAGGTATCAGATCCGTAAACCCCACATTCGTAGTAAAGTTGCTGAGGTCTGTGACGTTTTTCACCATGAGATTGTCTCTGAAAAGCAATACAGCGTACGAGCCCACCAGTCCCACTGCTTCTTTCCAGCTCACTGTCATTGCAGTTGTGTTTCCAATTGCCGTGACGCCAGAAACAGCTGCAGGCCCTGTATTAAGAGATTTCAATTTTACTTAATGTACATTTACAAATTCCTTAGTGAATGTCTGCCTAAATATATTGAATCTGTTATTTGGTCATTTATATTACTTTGAATTCAAGCAATTATTGCACGTTCATCTAGTATGGAAGCATGCTGCCAGCATTTATCAAGTCAACAAACTTGTGTAACTTTGCATGCCTATATGACTGTTCAGGTTGAGGTCCGAATCCATAATTACACCTGGATTTCCAGCTTGGTTTGTGTTTTTTAACATCAGAGATTGAAGCTCAGCGCTGACTTTTAATCGTTCATCCGTCCTAGCAAAAAAAATTACTTATGTTTTATCTTTGTTTAATTGAATTTTTTTTTTGACACATCCAGTTGTTGATTTGTTCAATGCAATTACACAGCCCCTGTATTGGTTTGTAGTCCCCTGGTGATATAGTTATATAGATTTGTGTGTCATCTGCATGACTATGATAATACTCTTTGTTGTTTTCCCTAATCTGAGCCAATGGAAGCATGTAGATGTTGAAGAGAAGTGGCCCAGTATTGAACCTTAAATTGACCCCTTCTAAATCACATTGTTGGTGTAACTCACAAGTTGCGTTGCAGACCCTTGAGGCTGCGTTCATTAAAGGTCCACTTGTGGTGACCACTTCCACAACAGTAAAGCACTCCCAGGTATCAGATCCGTAAACCCCACATTCGTAGTAAAGTTGCTGAGGTCTGTGACGTTTTTCACCATGAGATTGTCTCTGAAAAGCAATACAGCGTACGAGCCCACCAGTCCCACTGCTTCTTTCCAGCTCACTGTCATTGCAGTTGTGTTTCCAATTGCCATGACGCCAGAAACAGCGGCAGGCCCTGTATTAAGAGATTTCAATTTTACTTAATGTACATTTACAAATTCCTTAGTGAATGTCTGCCTAAATATATTGAATCTGTTATTTGGTCATTTATATTACTTTGAATTCAAGCAATTACTGCACGTTCATCTAGTATGGAAGCATGCTGCCAGCATTTATCAAGTCAACAAACTTGTGTAACTTTGCATGCCTATATGACTGTTCAGGTTGAGGTCCGAATCCATAATTACACCTGGATTTCCAGCTTGGTTTGTGTTTTTTAACATCAGAGATTGAAGCTCAGCGCTGACTTTTAATCGTTCATCCGTCCTAGCAAAAAAAATTACTTATGTTTTATCTTTGTTTAATTGATTTTTTTTTTTGACACATCCAGTTGTTGATTTGTTCAATGCAATTACACAGCCCCTGTATTGGTTTGTAGTCCCCTGGTGATATAGTTATATAGATTTGTGTGTCATCTGCATGACTATGATAATACTCTTTGTTGTTTTCCCTAATCTGAGCCAATGGAAGCATGTAGATGTTGAAGAGAAGTGGCCCAGTATTGAACCTTAAATTGACCCCTTCTAAATCACATTGTTGGTGTAACTCACAAGTTGCGTTGCAGACCCTTGAGGCTGCGTTCATTAAAGGTCCACTTGTGGTGACCACTTCCACACAGTAAAGCACTCCAGGTATCAGATCCGTAAACCCCACATTCGTAGTAAAGTTGCTCAGGTCTGTGACGTTTTTCACCATGAGATTGTCTCTGAAAAGCAATACAGCGTACGAGCCCACCAGTCCCACTGCTTCTTTCCAGCTCACTGTCATTGCAGTTGTGTTTCCAATTGCCATGACGCCAGAAACAGCTGCAGGCCCTGTATAAAGAGATTTCAATTTTACTTAATGTACATTTACAAATTCCTTAGTGAATGTCTGCCTAAATATATTGAATCTGTTATTTGGTCATTTATATTACTTTGAATTCAAGCAATTACTGCACGTTCATCTAGTATGGAAGCATGCTGCCAGCATTTATCAAGTCAACAAACTTGTGTAACTTTGCATGCCTATATGACTGTTCAGGTTGAGGTCCGAATCCATAATTACACCTGGATTTCCAGCTTGGTTTGTGTTTTTTAACATCAGAGATTGAAGCTCAGCGCTGACTTTTAATCGTTCATCCGTCCTAGCAAAAAAAATTACTTATGTTTTATCTTTGTTTAATTGATTTTTTTTTTTGACACATCCAGTTGTTGATTTGTTCAATGCAATTACACAGCCCCTGTATTGGTTTGTAGTCCCCTGGTGATATAGTTATATAGATTTGTGTGTCATCTGCATGACTATGATAATACTCTTTGTTGTTTTCCCTAATCTGAGCCAATGGAAGCATGTAGATGTTGAAGAGAAGTGGCCCAGTATTGAACCTTAAATTGACCCCTTCTAAATCACATTGTTGGTGTAACTCACAAGTTGCGTTGCAGACCCTTGAGGCTGCGTTCATTAAAGGTCCACTTGTGGTGACCACTTCCACACAGTAAAGCACTCCAGGTATCAGATCCGTAAACCCCACATTCGTAGTAAAGTTGCTCAGGTCTGTGACGTTTTTCACCATGAGATTGTCTCTGAAAAGCAATACAGCGTACGAGCCCACCAGTCCCACTGCTTCTTTCCAGCTCACTGTCATTGCAGTTGTGTTTCCAATTGCCGTGACGCCAGAAACAGCTGCAGGCCCTGTAAAAAGAGATTTCAATTTTACTTAATGTACATTTAGAAATTCCTTAGTGAAGGTTTGCCTAAATATATTGAATCTGTTATTTGGTCATTTATATTACTTTGAATTCAAGCAATTATTGCACGTTCATCTAGTATGGAAGCATGCTGCCAGCATTTATCAAGTCAACAAACTTGTGTAACTTTGCATGCCTATATGACTGTTCAGGTTGAGGTCCGAATCCATAATTACACCTGGATTTCCAGCTTGGTTTGTGTTTTTTAACATCAGAGATTGAAGCTCAGCGCTGACTTTTAATCGTTCATCCGTCCTAGCAAAAAAAATTACTTATGTTTTATCTTTGTTTAATTGAATTTTTTTTTTGACACATCCAGTTGTTGATTTGTTCAATGCAATTACACAGCCCCTGTATTGGTTTGTAGTCCCCTGGTGATATAGTTATATAGATTTGTGTGTCATCTGCATGACTATGATAATACTCTTTGTTGTTTTCCCTAATCTGAGCCAATGGAAGCATGTAGATGTTGAAGAGAAGTGGCCCAGTATTGAACCTTAAATTGACCCCTTCTAAATCACATTGTTGGTGTAACTCACAAGTTGCGTTGCAGACCCTTGAGGCTGCGTTCATTAAAGGTCCACTTGTGGTGACCACTTCCACACAGTAAAGCACTCCAGGTATCAGATCCGTAAACCCCACATTCGTAGTAAAGTTGCTCAGGTCTGTGACGTTTTTCACCATGAGAATGTCTCTGAAAAGCAATACAGCGTACGAGCCCACCAGTCCCACTGCTTCTTTCCAGCTCACTGTCATTGCAGTTGTGTTTCCAATTGCCGTGACGCCAGAAACAGCGGCAGGCGCGGTAAAAGAGATTCAATTTTACCTAGTGAACTTTAGTAATTCCTTAGTGAAGGTTTG